ATCTTATCGCTAAAGTCAACAAAGAAGGATCCCTCAATCTTATTCTCTTAATTTTACTCCCTAAATCCTATTGGGGAAGGGGGGGTGGGAGGGAGTCATCAAATCCTAAAGAGGTTAAATCCCCAAAAATGAGACCCCCCCCCCTAACTCATACAAAAGCCCACCTTGCTCAATAAATCTTCTCGCTAACGCTAAAGCCTTAGTGATAAGATTTGCGCTCCCTTAGAAAATAGGATTTGGGGACTATGCTTTGGGATACTCCCCACTTCAGCGCCTATTCCCTAAATCCTGCTCGCCAAGTCCCAAAGAGCGGGATCCCCTATAATGATAAAAATATGTCCGATTCAAACTTGAATCGGCCGATTCAGTTTTGAATCGACCCTCAAACTAAAGATTGAAGTCGTGTTGGCATGTAATCTGTGTACTCAATCTCCACAACACAACAAATTTGCTTATAAGGACTTAGTTTGCTTCTAATTAAAAGGGGAGAGGGTGCCAGGGGTCGGTCTTCCAAAATAAGCAGGACCAAAAAACACTCCCCACCACCCCCCTCCCCCCCCCCTCCCCTCTACTTCACTCCGCTGCGCGTTCTGCGTTTGTTTAAGGGTGTTGTCAGGCTTATTCTCCAAAACCCTATCGGTCCAGGGTTTAGGGTGTTAACGTAGGGTTAAGCAATTAAACCTCAACCCTGGACCTTTAAACACCCTATAGGGTTAAGGTTTAAAGGTTTAGGATTAAGTTTAGACATGTAAACCTTGACCTACAACTCAACGGAAACGCGAAACCTTTAACCCTTGCAGGGTTAAGGTTTAAAGGTATAGGGTTTAAGATATAGGCACTCTAAACCCCTATCGATCCAGGGTTTAGGGTTTTAAAGAAAAGCCCCGAAACCCTTAGGATGAAACAAATAAGCCTAATTCTTTAACCTTTAAACCCTGTAGGTTTAAGATTTAAAGGTTTAGGGTTTAAGATATAGGCATTTAAACCTTGACCTGCCAATACACCGAAACCCTTAAACTTTATGGGTTAATTCAAGGTCTAGGGTTTAAGATATTGGTATTTAACCCTTGACGTGCAATTAGACCGAAACCTGCAACCTGGAAACTTTATAGGGTTAAGGTCTAAATGATTTTCAACCTAAGCCTGCAATTAAACTGAAACACATAACCTTCAAACCCTATAGGGTTAAGGTTTAAAGGTCCCGGGCTTAGCGTTTTACAGAGAAGCCCCGAAACCCTATATAGGGTTGCAATTAACTTAAACGCGCAATCTGAGCAGGCTGGCCCGTTTTAAAACTCCTGCCACAGAAGATTGAAGATTGTCGGGGCCAAGAGTTTTAAAACTCCTTGCTTAGCCGCGAGAGGAGTTTTAAAACTCCTGCCACTGAAGATTGAAGATTGAAGATTCCCCGGAACTCTTTCCAGGAATCTTCAGTCTTCAATCTTCGGGGCCAGGAGTTTTAAAACTCCTTACTTAGCCACAAGAGGAGTTTTAAAACTCCCGGCCCCTAAGATTGAAGATTGAAGATTCCTGGAAAGAGTTCTGGGGAATCTTCAATCTTCAATCTTCGGGGCCAGGAGTTTTAAAACTCCTTGCTTAGCCACAAGAGGAGTTTTAAAACTCCCGGCCCCTAAGATTGAAGATTGAAGATTCCTGGAAAGAGTTCTGGGGAATCTTCAATCTTCAATCTTCGGGGCCAGGAGTTTTAAAACTCCTTGCTTAGCCACAAGAGGAGTTTTAAAACTCCTGGCCCTGCCAAATTTTTTCGGCGTCTTTAAGTATTTGCTATTTCGTATTTTATGTATATCTATAGATATATGTCCATATATATATCCGGCTTCGAATATAGTAAACACGTCTCGACATAGAAAAGGGTATGAAACGGTAGGTTTTGGGGGGGGGGGTACCATATATTTATATCTGTGTGTGTATATATATATATATATCTATTGTTTTCTTCTGCCGTTAAGGGAGTTCAGGATTGTGGAGAGGAAGTTCAGTTTTGCACCGTTATAAGTGTTAATTGCGGTAGTAGCTTCTCTTCGTTCCAACAAGGGGCTACCTTTGCTCCTCTATGAAGGGTAATCTCTAAACCGGAAGCTCTGGCACAGGGTATGTCGCATTGTGGCGTGATGCTTGCTGAAAGCGGACCTCCTCGTAGGCGGGTCGAAGAAGAGAAAGAAGATGATCAAGAGGCTGAAGACGAAGCAGAGCACATCGTCCGACAGCACAGGCAGGGCCGAAGGGTTCGAGTTCGGGCTTCAGGGTTTAGGGTTGAGGGTTTAGTAGTAAGGGTGGGGGCTTTAGGGTGTTTCTAGGCCTAATGGGGCTTGTAGGATGTGAGGGGAAGTCTGTGATTTTGCACGGAGCCCTAGGGGTTGCATCAGCGGCCGAGTGCGGGCTTTTCTTGTGTTGGCTGCTTGGAGGTTCAGGGTACTTATGACCCCAGTTCTAACTGCACTTTGAAAAGCCCCCTAAGTCCTATGAGTAGGTTATGGGTAAACTTGTAGTTGGGATCATAAGTGCCCATGAACCTCCAAGCGGCTGGGGGAGAGGGGAAGCAGAGTCAGATAACTCTGAAGGGGTTCTGGACGGGGCTTGCACAACCAGGCAAGTGAGGAGAGAAGTGGGCTTGCGAACAACCCCAAACTAAACCCTGAACCCTGAACCCTGAAGCCTGAACCCTAAACCCTAATGAGACCCCGAACCCTACACCCTAAACCCTAAACCCTACCTCTCAACCCATGCCCAGTTGCACACCACGTTGCGGCTTCGAGTTGAACTTTTCTTAGGGCTTCGGAAAGCCGCGAACCCCTTGAACCCAAAACCCCCCTAAACCCTAAACCCTAAACCCACCCGCCCCCCCTCAAAGCTCTATTGGGCAGTCGAGCGGTCAGCGAGACCAGGGCAGGCTCTGCTGGGCTGCAGAGCCTGCCAGCCGCACCCCTGAGGGGTCGCCAAGCTAGAGTCGCCTAGCATAGTCACTATTATATTGTATTACCCAAAAATCTCGGGGGGGCCCTGTCCTGGCTTTGGCCCTGACCTGCCCTGGCCCTGTGGCTCTGGCCTGACCTGCCCTGGCCCTGGCCTGGCTCGGGGCCCTGGCTCTGGGCCTTGCCCCTGGCCCCTGGCCCTGGCTCTGCCCTGCTCTGGTTCTCTGGCTTCTTGCCAAGACTGCACCCCTGTCTGTGCAACCTCTTCGCACCTCATTGAGAGGGCCCTTCGGCCCAGACCGTCCCCTTCGCGCAAACCTGAAGGAGAGTCCTTTGCCTTATGGACCCAAGTGACCCACAACCTGCAAGTTCACGCCTGAGTTTTCTGTGAATCCTTTGCCTTATGGCCCCAAGAAAAACCCAGAAGTCTAGTCACTAAAGGCTTGGGCTGTTCTAACTAGTTTCAGAATCCTCCGAGAATGGCTGCCTTAGTTTGGGCTGGCTCCGGTTTCGCGGATTTTGAATGGCTGGCTTGGTTTTGGCTGGCTCCGGTTTGGTTTCGCAGTGAGTTGTGATAGGGTGGCCTTGGGGTGGGCATGTCTTCACACTATTGCGTTCAGCTGACCCGTGCTACACCCTAAACCCTAAACCCTAAACCCTAAACCCTAAACCCTAAACCCTAAACCCTAAACCCTAAACTCTAAACCCTAAACCCTAAACCCTAAACCCTAAACCCTAAACCCTAAGCCCTGGACGCTAAATATTCAACCCCAAGCTTCCCTCGACGACCCTTCTCAGCGATTCTTCTCGAAGGTCTTCCTCCAGTTGACAGCCCGCGGCAGGCCGGGGGCGATGGAGCACCTCCCTAAACCCTAAACCCTAAACCCTAAACCCTAAACCCTAAACCCTAAACCCTAAACCCTAAACCCTAAACCCTAAACCCTAAACCCTAAACCTCTCCAGAAAGCCTTGCTGATGTAGGGTTTAGGGGTTTGCTAGGTGGGCCCTTGGGATATTTTGTATTTTCTCTCATATTGGGTTTAAGAGGATCATGTCTTAGGAGTGTTTTTCAACGGGTTTTAGGGGGCCGTCCTAGTTTAGGGTTAGGATTTAGGGTTTTGGGTGTGGAGTGCAGAGTTTAGATCTTGAACAACGGTATCGATTACCCAGAACAACCAAAGGCCGAAGCCCCGCACCCCAGTCCCAACTTGCAAGTTCGACAACGCCTGAAGCTGGTAGCAAGAAGAAGGAACAGAATTCCCCTAAACCCTAAACCCTAAGCCCTAAATCCTAAGCCCTAAACCCTAAACCCTAAACCCTGCACCCTATATAAACCCTAAACCCTAAACCCTAAACCCTAAACCCTAAAACCTTTGGTCGCTTTCTGCTCCGCAGGCAACGGACAGCTTCTCCTCAGAAGGCCCGCCTTCGCTTGAGGATCAAACTGCCGGAGCTGGTGAGAAGGTGGCCGAGCTTCAATGGCCTTAATTTCGTGGGGTTTCGGGTTTAGGGTTTAGGGTTTCGGGTTTAGGGTTTCAGGGTTTAGGGTTTAGGGTTGAGGGTTTAGGGTTGAGGGTTTAGGGTGTGAACCCTAAACGTAGCAACCCTGAACCCCAAGCCCTTCGCGAGAGGAAGCGAGCTCCCTGCCTTGCGCATCAACATTGCTTGAACCCAACCCTCGAAGATCAGCCAGAGAATGTTCCAAGGATGGGAAGAATTAACTTACTGTTGGTTCGCAGGGAAACAGGGACTTAGGGCCCTACATATCCTTCAAGGGATTCTGCAGTGTACCTCATTCCCCCCATTCCCTCCTAACCCAACAGTAAGGAGAAGGAGAAGCCGAGGAAAACGAGCGGCGTCAAGTTTGCGGAGCTGGCTCCACCGACTGCAACGAAGCAGGAGAACTGCCAGACTGGAGGGCAAATAGGCCAATCAGGTCAGGAGCCCGAAGACCAAGCCAGGGACCAGCAGGTGGATGAGGGGGAGGAGGAGGCGGAGGAGGAGGAGGCGGATCAAGAGGATAAGGAGGAGAAGGACGAGGAGGATCTTGTGGACCCTCTTTTGCTCATGCAAATCCGGGAGTCCTGGTTCCATGTGGCAGCAGACTGTGTGATCACCTTGTGCAGTATCCTTCCCCTTGTGTCTATTCCGGCCATGGCTTATTTGTTCTACAGCTATTCGTTCCGCTGGATTCAGTTTAGAATGCCTCGAGATGCGAAGTACTACCCGTGCATGAGCCAGACCGTTCTTGTAGGAAGGGTCATTACCGAGGTTCTTCTGTGGGCGTGGCTGCTGCAGTGCAACGTCAGGGCAGGACTAGACCTCGCAGCTTTCATTCAGATGACAAGAGAGCTGAGCTGGAGTCAACAGACAATGGAGTACATCATCCAGTATACGCAGGTCAACTTCATCCGCAGCAGCCTGTGCGTTGCCTCGGTCTTTTTTTTCCGCTCTTTCGCATGGCATGCGAACGAAGCCACGGAGGCAGTCAAACTTCACAAGCAAAGCGCTCTGGAAAATCTCAAGAATGGTGCGCTAGTGCAGTCAGCCCAGCAGCCTGGATATCAGAAGACTGAGAGAATCTTGAAAAAATTGCGCGGAGAGGCACCGTGGGCGGATTATTTCAAAGACATGGAGGGGGTGAGTCCGCAAGAAGCCAAAAATGAACTATCAAGGCTCTGGGAGCTGCTCCGGGAGAAACCTGAGGAGCTTTGCATTCACACGGTGGTGTCTTTTCTATCGTCTCTCTTCATGGTTGCAGGGGTCTTGCTTCTGTCTGTGGAGAAAGAGCTCCCAGCTCGGAACGAGCTATTCAAAGGCGATCCTCAGTCGTTCGAAGTGCAGTTCGCAGTTGTTTGGTGGTGGGGCAATGTGCTGGTAGGCACGGCTCTAGCAGTGCATGGTTGGTCGCACATGACCTGGGCGATTACGGAAGCCAGTTTCAAGTTCCGGGACAACATCACCCAGGCCGCTGCCCAAAACCCGAGACTCTAAATCCAAAAGCCGTATAAACCTTCGTTAGACCCAAAACCCTCAGGTCGTCATCTTCGCAAGCCTTGCGAAACACACCAGCCTTTGCACTTTCACCCCTGGCCTGGAATCCTACAACTACCGGCGCCTGAGATGCCAGACGGCAGCCTTCCTCTTTGTTTGTGGTTGTTGGGCCCCGGGGGGGGGGGGGTTGGTACAGCCCCGAAATTTTTCCTGTCTCCTCAGTAAGGAACAGAAGCCGTGTCATGAGTTTACTCAACAAGCTTACAAAGGAGGATGGCGCACAGGAGCCAAAGGCAAAGACTATTCGCCAGTCAATGAAAAATGTTGCTGAAAAAATGCTGCCTGGACAAAGCCCAGATGCCACTCGGCAGGCTGCCACAGAATTCTACTATCTTCTTGATCAGAAGATCGGGCGTCTGAGCCTGAAAGACTTCAACGACATTCAAGCATGGTACATCCTGAGGGGCATTGTTCATATGGACCTTGCGGACGAATCTGCCTGTATGGAGTTCTGCGGAGTAATGGTGGCAGGTCTCCTACTGGTCTTCTTCTTGTTTGGGGCGCTCGACTTCCTCCTACAGTACAGCATGTTTTCCTGGGGATTGCTACTGACGTACCTTTCATCCAGTGTGCTGCTGCTTCTGATGTGGAAGGTGTTCGAGTACGGAATAGACATCAACTCCATCTTGGCGAAGGACTCCCGGAGACTGTTGCAGAAGCCTGTATAGTTACACCGTATAGACATAATAGTCAGCCTCTGCAAGTGAGTGCTTAAGAACCTTGCGCCATGCCTCGTAGATCGAGAGTGCTCCACCCCGTCAGCTAGAAGACGCCTGAAGGACCACGAAATCTTGGCGGACGCTGCTGCCTATGCTGCATTTTTTCCGGATGCCAATGTGCTGAAGTCAGAAAGGGACTTTCGAAAAAGCATGCGCAAAAGCATGCACGCAGCAACGTCGGAAACCTCAGAAGATGCGGACGACACGGCTTCGCAGCATCCTGGTAGCAATTGCACAGGGTGCCGTCTGGAATTGTAGGCGCATGGAGCGTTTGGGGTTTAGGGTTTAGGGAGTTTAGAGCTTATTTAGGGTTTAGGGTTTGGGGTTTGGGGTTAAGGGTTTATGGTAGGAGGCTTGGTTCGGGGTCAGGCCATTCAACCTGATATCCCAAAGCCTTCACACACTTCGGGGCTCGTGAAGTCTTTTGGTTGGTTTGGGTTTAGGGTTAGGGGAGCAGTTCAGGTCTCTCTTCATGCGCCTGCTGAGTCTCCAGCACAACCTCCAGGCCGCGCGAGAGGGATTTAGGGTGGCTGGTGGAAACCGCTAAGGGTTTGTTTGTTTTTTATTTTTCATTTTTTCCGTGGCTCCGGGTTGAGGCTTAAGGGTTCTGGGTTTAGGGCCTGTCTCCCAGACATTGCGCTCACGTGTGTGGGGGGTTCTTGCGTGGTTGTTGTCGCGCTCTGGTGCATGTCGTCACCTTGGTGACCCCTAAACCCTAAAACACTCAGCCCTAAACCCGAAGCCGTAACTCCCAAACCCTAAGCTCTCGGGGGATGAAAGCAGGGGGTCCCAAGTTACGGGGGGGGGGGGTTACGGGTCCATGTTAGGGACCCACACTAAAAACCCTAAATCCCCTTTGCATCCGCAGTTTCCTGGCCTGAAAGTCGACATCGCAACTTAACGGTTGCTTGCGTTTTTGCATTTTGCCATGTTCCCTAAACCCTAAACCCTAAACCCTAAACCCTAAACCCCGAACCCTAAATTTAAACCCTAAAGCCTGAACCCTGAACCTCGGTCCCTGTGCATCATCGGGCGCTTGGGCTCTCGGATGTGCGAAGAGTGTCTAGGAGGCCCAGGCCCAGTAGTATTACTTTTTGGGGAGGGTTTAGGATTTAGGGTTTAGGGTTTCGGGTCTAGGGTTTAGGTTTTAGGGTTTAGGGTTCAGGGATCAGCTTGGGTACTGCCCCCACTCATAAACAGTTGGATAATATCGGTAGTAGCACTCATATAGCAGCCCCAGTGTCACCCCAATTAAACACTGTTACTGGGTGAGGGCAGGACCCAAGGTTTAGCTTCCCTTATAAGCCCATTTAAGCAAAAAACAAGGGCACCCTTCTTCATCCTAGGTTACTGGGCAACCTAGGTGTCTGGACACGTCCTAAACTAGAACGACCTTAGGGTTTAGGGCCAAAGAATGTCCTCGATGACTGTCTCAGCAGCAGCAGGAGGAGGGGGAGGAGGATGGCGCAGAAAGGTTCTTTTTCCCCCGCCCTTCCCCAACCAAAACCCAAAACCCAAAACCCAAAACCCAAAACCCAAAACCCAAAACCCAAAACCCAAAACCCAAAACCCAAAACCCAAAACCCAGAACCCAGAACCCTAAACCCTAAACCCTAAACCCTAAATTCTAAGGGCTACGCCCAGGGGCGGGCAACGCCCCCAGAAGTAGCAGGCAGAGGCATGGCAGCTCCCAAAGCAAAACCCTCCCCCCCTCCCCCCGCGAGCCGCTGATGCTGCCGATGGATCCCCAAAAAAGAAACGAAGCCTCGATGATGCACGCCCCTGGCCCCCGCCCGGCCGCGCATCATGAGCATCAGCGGCTCCGGCCTCCAGGCATGCGTGGCTTATGGGGGCATATGCCGGCCTCAAAACGGAAAGGTCCGTAACAGCACCAAAACAGCGGTTGCGGTGGGTGGGGGGTGGGGGGGGGTGGGGCGGGAGAAGGAGCCCCTACCCCCCGTGGTGAACCGCCTATAGTCGGTGCGTTTGCGCCGTGCAGGTGGCGTGGTCCTCCATGAAAAAATTGTGCACAGACCCCCCCCCCCCCCCGCGTTTTAAGGTTTTTGGGGGTGTAAGGGGAGGGTTCCCTCCCCCAAAACCACCCACAACACCGCCAGGGTCGGCGGACCCTAAACCCGAAACCCTAAAAACCCTAAACCCTAAACCCGAAACCCGAAGGAATGAAAGATTTTGATCGTACGTAGGGTCATCGTCATCTGATATCGGCATATATAGAGGTCGGAATAGTTCTCACCTATCCCCACTAGGGTTCAGGGTTTAGGGTTTAGGCTTTAGGGTTGAGGGCGTCCTCGTCTAAATGGAAAGCAAGCTTTACCAGGTAGGATCAGGGGGACCCGTAAAGGGGAGACCCTTCTGAACCCTCTCTTGGCTCTCTTAAACAGGGACCTTATTGAGAGGGTCTATATCCCCAAGGGTCCCTCTAGTCCTATCCCCTAATTTCTTCTTGAGTATCACAACCCATACAAGAACGAGCAAGAAACCAATTCGTCGAACAAGATCCTGGGGGGAAAAGTCGGGTCCAAGGTTCCCTTGAATGCCCTCGTGTTTTTTCCTTCTCGCTTTCGCTCATCCTCAACTTCAATCTGTAAAGGCATTAGACTCAGACTCTTGATAGACCAAACCCTAACCCGAAACCTAAAACCTTAACTCCCAACGCCACAATAGCCCTCAACCCCAGACCCGCGATGAGTCACAAGAATCTCTAAGCCCTCAATTTTTGAACCTACCGGTTGGGATGTTCCCCCTTTTCCTAACAGTCCTTAATAGGGATTAAAATAGGAGGGGTACGATAATCCCTCATACGGACTGTTAGTATAAGGGGGGAACATCCCAAGCTACCGGGAAGGTTCAGGAGACTGGTCAGCAACTGCTCGGCATCACCGTCACGGCGAACCTCCGGGCAGGCTGGCTTTTCTCGGTGCTGGTCACAATATTTACCTGGCTGCGAGGACCTAAGGGATCAAGTTACCCGGGTTGTCGGGTTTAGGGGGACTAAACTCTAAGGCTTTTCTGAAAAACTCCCAGAAACTCAAAGATCGGCCAACAAACCGCTCAACCTCCAAATTCGGCGGCTCAGAACTCATCTGAGCCCTAACTTGTGCAACTCCAACAACTAGGGATACTATGCCTTACATCAGAACCGGATTTCTATCACACTTTAGGGAATACATGAAGACATCTAAACCTAAGCCCTCAACCACCCTAAGCCCCAAACCCCAAACCCCAAACCCCAAACCCCAAACCCCAAACCCCAAACCCCAAACCCCAAACCCCAAACCCCAAACCCTAAACCCTAAACCCTAAACCCTAAACCCTAAACCCTGAACCCTAAACCCTGAACCCTAGACCCTAGACCCTAAACCCTAAACCCTAAACCCTAAACCCTAAACCCTAAACCCTAAACCCAGGACTCCTCGCGAAGATCTGGGATGTGGAGGTCCTGGCCGACATGGTCCGCGACCTCTTCTTGTTCTGGGATGATGGCGCTGGGACCTCTTGAGCCATCAGCCCCAAGGGGCTTAAACCCTAAGAACCCGAAGAACCCTAGAAACCCGAAAGACCTATAAAAGACTCTAAGAGCCACAAAGAAGCCCTAAACACCCTACAAACCCTACAAACCCTAAGAACCCTAAAAGCCCGACAAACCTTAAAAACCCTAAAAGCCACAAAATCCCTAAGAACCCTAAACAATCCGAAAAACCCTAAACAACCCGAAAGCCCCTAAACCCTACTTGCCCCAGACTCAAGCTTGGCCGCCATCGGCGTGTCAGAAAGATGCCTCGTGTTCCAGTTCAAGCGAAGCCAGCTATGATGCATCTAAACCCTAAACCCTAAACCCTAAACCCTAAACACTAAACCCAAAAAAAACCCTAAACCCTAAACCCTAAACCCTAAACCCTAAACCCTAAACCCTAAACCGTAAACCCTAAACCCTAAACTCTAAACCCTAAACCCTTAACTTGTCATGGCACATCTTTCTTGTAGCTCATGCCTTTGAGCGCAGGAGAGGGAGCTTGGTATGACGACCTCGCTTGGTTAATGTGTGTTTGCTTGGGCTGCTACACTCCAAGCCTTCTTAAGCTCACCCCAAAACTCAAACCTAAAGCCCTAAGGTTTAGACCCTAAACCCTAAACCCTAAACCCTAAACCCTAAACCCTAAACCCTAAACCCTAAACCCTACATCCTAAACCCTAAACCCTAAACCCTAAAACCCTAAAACCCTAAAACCCTAAAACCCTAAAACCCTAAAACCCTAAAACCCTAAAACCCCAGCCCCAACCATGAAGCCCTGAACCCCAAACCGTACAAGGGCACAAGAAGAGGTGGAGCAGCCGCTGCTAATCTTATCCTTGCCCATCCGAACGGTGTGTCTGACATCGCGTGATGGACACGTAAGTGCTGTCGGGCTTCGTGTCTAGGACTTGGGGTTCATGCTATGGGTGTCTACTTGGAGTTTGGGATTTGGGTTTAGGATCCAGGTGCCTTGGCCAGCTCCCGCAGGTTAGCTCGCCGCCCCGTACCTAGCCACATCTTGCAAGAGCATGCGCGCAGTCAAACTCGGTTTGGAATTATCATGTGCCAGGAGGGTGAGATCTGCATGTGGTTCGAAACATGGTTGTCAAATTGCATTTGGAGAATGTCATGTTGTCAGAAGTGGTCCGGGTCTGCGGGTTTAGCTTGGTAAGGGTTTTGTGCTAAGGTTTGAAGAAGTTTTGCTTCCCGCCACGAGAGCAACCCCGTCCTAAACCCTAAACCCTAAACCCTAAACCCTAAACCCTAAACCCTAAACCCTAAACCCTAAACCCTAAACCCTAAACCCTAAACCCTAAACCCTAAACCCTAAACCCTAAATCCTAAACCCTAAACCCAAAAATCCCTAAACCCTCCTAAACCCTCAACCCTAAGCCCTAAACCCCGGAAGGGAAGGCCCGAAAGCGCTACTAGGGGCTCCTGCCCGATCTGTCTCCTTCTCTTCTCTGCGCCCAGTCTGGGGTTCTTTAGAGTTTAGGGATTTAGGGTTTACGGGTTTAGGGTTTGGGGCTTGAGGTTTCGGTGAGGAGAAGCCGAAGAAATGTTGCTCTGCTGCTGTGAGGGCTACTTACGCTCCCCAACCGCTCGAATCCTAAACCCAAAGCTCTACAACCCCTAAACCCTAACCATAAACCCTAACCCTAAAAAACCCAGCGGGTCTGCCCTCAGGGCACA